GTTCCTACCAAACCTGTTAAGGTACAGTAGTTGGATATTCCAGAAGATGGCGTCACTGGCCATAATCTTTTCTCTCCCTACGCTATATTCTTTGGCAATTTAATTTATTCCTATGGTGTCAACTGTTCTCTCTATACAGAAGACTCTCAAATATGTATGGCTATCCTTCAGCTTTCTTCTTAGCTCTGGATCTGCATCTTCAAATGCCTTCAAACCATCTCCATCTGGACTTCTAAGCAGCACCTCAAACTCAACAAGTTCCAAACCAAGCTCATTATCTTTCCTAAAAAACATGATTTTTTTTTTGGACTCCCTATATAGATCTATGATGTCTCCTCCTCATTTTCCCTCTATTTTAAGAGAAATGAGTAGACTACAACACCCTTGCTGGAATGACTGGGAATTTATTTATAGACATAGCAATTTAACAATTGTTTCAGGATCTATTGGATGCTAAGTAGTGAGGATGATAAAAAAAAAAAAAGCTAAAAATGGCTCCTGCCTTTCAGGAATCTTCTAGCCAGGGCAATAAATCACATACACAATGACTATAGTGCAAAATAAATTAATAATTACCATAACAGAGGTACAAAAAAATGTCATGAGAATTTTTGTTGGAGAGATGACTTCCATGTTGAGGGATTCATGTTAAAGATTTAATGGAGAAGAATGACATTTGAGCATGTCTTTGAAAGATAGAAGAATTTTAATAGTTAGGGGCAGGCTTCATAGACTTTTGTCTCCCTGGGATAGAGACTAAGAATGAAAAAGGGAATATGCAAGGATAGGCTTAGAAAACAGTAAATATGTCTAGTTTGGATGAAGCACAGACTGTGTGAAGGGGAGAGGTGGGAGATAGTTGGAAAGGGTGATGGAAGGTCAATTACAGAAGGTCTTGAATGCAAAGCTTTAAAGAATGTAATCAGTACGCAGTGAAGAACCATGTTAAGTTTTGGAAAAGTAGAATGACATGATCACAGTTGGGCATCAGGACAGATTAGAGGGGGAAAGACTAGGTAGGGAGACAGAGTTAGCATATTGCTGTGGAAAAAGCAATAAATTCAGAATCAGAAGGCCTAGAGAACTGAATTGTCATTACCATTTAGTATTGTGCCCTTAGGTAGAGCACTTAACTCTCTGAGGTTCAGTTTACTTGTTTATAAAACACAGATATGGGGTAGCTAGGTGGTACTATGGATAGAAGGTACAGTGGATAGAGCATACTGGTCTGGAGTCAGGAAAACTCATCTTCCAGTTCAAATCTGGCTTCAGACACGAGCTGTGTGACCCTGGGCAAGCCACTTAACTCTGTTTGCCTCAGTTTCTTAGCTGTATCATAAGGCGGAGAAGGAAATGGCAAACCACTCCAGTATCTTTGCCAAGAAAACTCCAAATGGTGCCACAATGAGGTGGACAGAACTGAACAACAAAAATAGAGATCCTAATGACAGATAGCCTGCTACTCAAGGACAAGTGTAGAATGAACACAAGGTGATGAATTTTTGGTCTATAGTAATTAAAAAAACTAAGAAAAATACAGCCCAAATTCTGGGCATCCCCACTTTCCACTTCAGCAATGATGGTTGCAGGGTCAGGAAAGAGGGCTGTGGGTAATAAGTAAAATAGTTTTTAGAATTGTCTATACACATTAATTCAACTGTCAGTTCTCTAAATGTGAGATCTTTGTCCAGTGAACAATGAATAGATAAAGAAAGATGGCTCACAGGTTCTCTGATCAGAGGCAAATGAATGAATTAGTTTTATCTTGAATCCAAAATAAACAATAAATATCATTTTATGGGATATTTGGTCATCCTATACTGTAGTAGTTTCCTCATGAGGAACATAGGAAAAAATAAAAACAAAAAATCACCACAAAGATAACTGTACTTTATACACCAATATCTGATGAAAAGCTACAGAAACTCTACAAAGAATTTAACACTCTTCAAAACAAATAAATGTGGACACTGACTCCAAGTTGATTGTTCTTTCCCCAACACAATCTTCTCAATTATATGAAGCCAAGCAAAGAATGTACAAATACTTTCAGATTCACTTTCCTCAAAAAACTCAACCAAAAAATAAATCTCTTAAACATGCAAACACACAGTTTAAAACATAGTTTAAAACTTTTCATATACTGTGTATATTAAAAAGTTTTATACAAATCACAGAGTTTGAAGAGTGCTTTGAGACTATCGACAAATAATATAGAAGTAAAATGGAGCCTTCACTAATTCTCAATGGCTAGGAGGGACAACTTATTTCTGGAATACTCTCTCCCCCCAACTCTATCTTTTAAAATCCTGTCCAACTTTCAAGGCTAAATTCAAACACCACTTTTTCCTTAAAGCTTTCACTGACTCCTAATTGGAAATAATTTTCCCTTTCTCTAGTCACCCACACTGAAAAAGTGTTATATTTGGCTGTTTACTTTCTGTCACCTCCTACACTCAATCAGTTATCAAGACAGGTTGATTCTGCCTTTGCAACACTGCTCATATTCACCTCTCTTTCCCATTTCTACTGTCATCACCCTAGTTGAGGCCCTCCTAACCACTGACCTGAATAACAGATGGTATCCCAATAGGCCTTCTTTGCAACTCTACTCTCTCACCTCTTCCCAGCTAGCCTTCCCAAAGTGACAGACATATTCCTCATTAAAAAAAACTTGATCAAGTCACTCTTCTGCTCAAAACTCTTTAATCCTGTACTGACTGCCAAAAAAATCCAAGGTCCTTGGCTAATACTGAAAACACCACAATATAGCATCACCCTCCCTACCTTGGAATAATGGGAAAAGTGTTGAGCTTTTTAAGAGTCTGGCCGACCTGCGTTTCAGTGGGCCAATCACTTAATCTTTCTGAGTCTTAGTTTCCTCACTTGTAAAATGGAGATGATGCTGACAGTGACTGTCTCACAGGGTGTTAGCATTACCATTCCAGCATCATCTCATGTCATTTACTACATACTGTACTACCAGCCATTCCCCATACATGCCTCCATACCTTTGCTCACATTGTTCCCTATGCTCAGAAGGAAGTCCTAGTTTTCCTTTCATGATCCTCCTCTCTGGGCTCACTCCCCCAAACTTGTTCTTTTACTCACAGAATAAGGTCCTTGAGATGGGCAACTGCTTCCTTAGGTTCCAGAAGTGACTCTTGTAGGTACACTCCTAACACTGTAGTTGCTGAGCCCCCGCTGGTATACTTCCCATTAACAGTCTTCTAGTAGACCCAATTAATTTAATAAAAGTATTTATTTAAATGATACAGGAGAAGAATAATAACAAAACATTATTCCTATACACCCAGGGCTCACATTTCCACCAATATACACAGTGTCCATGAGAAGAGTGGGCTACATTGAAAATCTCATGAGGGCAGAGACCAATTATTTGCATATTTTTCCCAGTGTACCGGACAGCACTTTACCCAGAAAAGATACTTAAATGGTTGTTGAATAAGTGAATGAATGAATCTTCCATGGGATATGTGAAACAATGCCTACTTGAGTTTAGATGAAGTTTTGATGCAAATGTAGAATTCAGGCTTACTTCAAAGATCTGTGGGTAAAAGAATTCCCTCAACAGACTCAGATCACAGCTACACTACAACTTCACAGAACATCGTTAAGAGTGCCTCTGGTCTTCAAATACAAGACTCAAGTGAAACATGAAAGAGGTAAACAGGAAAGAGAAAACATAAGAGACTTATTAAGGTTGAACTGTTTACATTGCTGCAGGGAAAGATGATATTTTTAGCTCTTGAGTCCTTTGTCAGTATTAGGGCAGTGGGAGGGAAAAAAATTGTATGTATGTATAGATAGATAGATAGATAGATAGATAGAGGGCACATGGTGAGTTGAAGATGAAGAGGTGATATTTGGAAAATAAAATTAAGGGGTGAGAGAGGATTATACTGGGAGAAGGAGAAATGGGGCAAATTATTTCACGTGAAACAGACAAGAAAAGGCTTTTACATTTGAGGGGAAATGGGGGAAGGTGAGAGGGAATGAGTGAATCTTATTCTCATAGGATTTGGCTTAGGGAGGGAATAACATACACAATGAGGTATGGAAATCTATCTTACCCTACAGGAAAATAAGGGGGAGCAGGGGGATGACAAAGGGAAGGGCAGATTGGGGAAGGGGATGATCAAAAGCAAACACTTCTAATGAGGGACAGGGTCAAAAGAGAATAGAATAAATGAGAAGTAGGATAGGATGAAGGGAAATATACTTAGTTTTTCACAACAGGACTAATATGGAAGTGTTCTGCATGACTACACATCTATAACCTGTACTGAGATGCTTGCCTTTTCACCGAAGGTGGGTGGGGAGAGAAAATTTGTAACTCAAAGTTTTAAAAACACATGTTAAAAAAAAAAAAAGAGTGCCTCTGGTCAAAAGAACTCAAAGGTTTGTAGCCCCACCCACTTTCCCTTTCCTCAGCCGTTTGCAGGTCCCTAAGCTGGTGTCCAGACAAAAGATACAGTCTGTCCCTGGGAAGCCTTTCAAGTTGAATCTCCCAGAGCTTATACTCCAAGACGATGGGCTTCAAGAACTCAAAGCTACCCTCTGAAGCCTGAAGGGTGACCAAATAAGGACTGTAGGAGAGGCACTTATGGCTGTGTTTCTTTAGATATCTAGTATGTTCCCCACTTCCTGTCTCTTTGCTAAGTCTCCGTAAATCTCTAATAGTTTTCCCCAGCTTAACTCTAAAGGTTCTTCTTTCAAAACAGTATTGGACAAAGGACATAGAACCATGGCATTAAATTTTTATGTCCCTATGTAATACAGTTTGACATATATTCCTCAGAATTACATTTTTGACTGTTTTATCTTGTGAATTAGTTTTGAGTAAGAACAGAGAAGTAGAATTTAAGTGCTTATACACTTATGAATTAAATATTTTATACAAATTAATTTGCACAAACTATTAAATCTTTCAAATTATTAAATCTTTCAAACTATTAAAATCATTCCCATGGTGATACCTTATCCTTGTATCCAACAATTCTTTAATCATTGCTACAACTTCATCATCCTCTTCAGTTGCTAGAAACAAGCACAAATCAAAGTATTAATAGCAGCAATATAACAGAGTATTTTTAAAGATTTAGGAGTAAAAAAAAGGAAGATTTTCATTTTATAGCTAAGTCACATTGAGAGGCAAATCAGATAACTTAGTATAGTGGTATCTTAATATTATTTGTTGGCTCTACAACTTTTTGGAAATGGAAAATTCCACTTAATGATGCTCCAGAGGGGGAACCAGGAAGTGAGATTAATTTGACATAGTGTGGTGAATGGCCAATGTGATATAGTGGTACTGTTTATGTCCAAGGACAGGCGTACATTTTGAAATCTTAGCCAGAAAGAATGTAAAAGTTTATGAACCAGGGGCAGCTAGGTGGCACTGGTCTTGGATTCAAGATGACGTGAGTTCAAATCCGGTCTTGGTCTCAGACCAGACACTTAACTAGCTATGTGACCTGAGGCAAGTCACTTAACCCCAATGGCCTAGCAAAAAAAAAAAAAGTTTATGAGCTAAAAGGATGGGAAAAAATAGGATGCTCCTTAGTCTTTGGTGGAGAATTTTAAATAAAAATTCATATCTGATGACTCATTAAAGTTGGGCATATTATTTACAAAATTTCCCAGAATCAATGTCTGCAAAACTATTAAGGTCTTTAAAACTGTTAAAGCTGTTAATATTGGCCATTTCCATTAGTAACACTTTTGTTCATTTTTTTCTGCTTTGGTGTCACCATGGTGTGTGTGTGTGCTATCTGAGGAGGAAGAATGGAAGAAGTGACTGGACCCTAGGGGTCTAGACCCCATTGGAGGTCTATGAGGCACTGCCTGTGGAAGAAAAATATCACATACAACACTGCATCGACTCAGGCCTCTGGGTCCCCACTGCAAAGGCAGCCCCTCTTAGAGGGCAGGCGAAAGGAGAGGATGAAGCCCCAGCTTCCAATCTTGTGGTGTGGCCAGGAAGGGCAAATTGGAAGAAGAGAAAGGGAATGTCTGATCTGGCCCCTGCTAGAAACTTTATGCCAGACTCTCTTCTAAGGCAACAAAACCAACAAATATATGAATATATAAAATCTGTGAGCTTCTGAGTCTCCTGCTTGCTCTCCACACTGAATCCCCCTGTGCTGGCATTCCTCCCAACACCCATCCCTTCCAGCTCTGATCCAAATAGCTCTGTGTGTCACTACAACTGCCCCCCACCCCCCAATCAGTCAGTCATCTTGCCCTGTGCCCAACAGGAGTGGGAGCTGGTACTGGGTCTTGGGGAATGGAATGTGGTTGGGAGTTAGAGCTGACTAGGGTTGTAGGCATGGTTCTGGGCACTGTTATTAACTCATTTGCGGGCTTCTGTGTCTTTTTGAAGTGAGGGTAACTGGCAAACATCTTCAAATAAAAGATCTTAAGGGGAAAAAAAAGACTATGTCTATCCACATCAGTATCTGTTTGAGGCTTCACATTTTTAGAAGTCAAGTACTGGCTGCTTTATTAACTATATGAAGGTGTGTGTGTGGGAGGGGGGAGGCAGGGAGGCGGGATGGGGGAGTGAAAGGATCAGATCTGTGACGTCAAAGGTATAGGAAACTCCTACTGAGGAAACCGATTTGATTGATTCAGATCTCTGTCTACTCTGAAAAGGAAAGTTTTGTCAAGCTGTCTGGAACACTGAGAAGTTAAGTGATGTGCCCAGTCACAGAGCCAGTATGCGTCAGAGACAGGACTTGAAGTCAGGTCGTCCTGACTCCAAGACTGAAAATTATGGAAAAAGAGGGTGAATGGGAGAAAGGCTTATTCCCTTCCTCCCTTCAGCTTCCTAGAAACCCTAGCTCTGCACCACGTGTTGCTTAAACATCACCTCTTTCCAAAGGGTTTTCCTGATTCCCTCAATATTTAGGGCACTTCAGCACTAACATCTTCACTATTCTGAATTTAACACTCAATCCAACATTTATTAGGAACCTCTGGTGGGTATAGCACACATTTTCAACTTCTGTGAACTCAAAGGAAATGACCTTTAGTTATATCCAATGAATTTAAAATACATTTCTTATGCCTTTTGGTTTTAATTTCTGGATTTATCTGATCCTTTGAAGACTATCTCATGACAAAGCAGTTGCCCGGTTTTGCCACTAGATGACACTAATACACAAATTTAGGAAAACTTAAGTTAGAATACCATCAACTTGTTTAGTCATTTCAGCCCTGTCTCTTCATGACTTCATTTAGGGTTTTCTTGGCAAAAATACTGCAGTGATTTGCTATTTCCTTCTCCAGTTCATTTTATAGATAAGGAAAGTGTGGCAAACAAGGTTAAGTGACTTGCCCTCGGTCACAAAGCTACTGTTTGAGGCCAGGTTTGAACTCAGGTCACCCTGACTCCATCAGTACTCTAGCCACTGTGCCACCTAGCTGCCTTTACCAACTTACATACTTGAATAAATATGGTATGTCAACATTACAGCCACAGAAAAACTCGAGGATAAAAGTGGTGAGCCTTAAATTTAAACTAGTAGGTTTGTTCAGGAAATGCAGCTTTTCCCCAAAACAGCCAAAGATAGACCTTTAAAAACAAAACATGCCAGTTGATAAAGTTTATCTGGGAGATGCATTTAAAAAAAAAAAGTCAATGTTTTTGTATTCAGAATCATTTGTTGGTTTCTCATCATGGATAGCATGAAATCCTTATTAAAAATTTCTTAGAATACTCAGAATTTTTTTCCATTATACATTAATTTACATAGGTAAGCTCTAATTGATAGTTATAAAACCTCTAAGTTTGATGGTCATAATTCACAGTACACAAGATTCTTCACTTTATAAAACTCCTTTAAATAGTGAGCTTTCCTATTCCTTTTAAGGTATATACATTCTCCAGATTGCTGGAGGGTATTAGATACACATGAAGTCGTTTACAGAGACAAAAATATTACCTAAGTCTCCAATAACTTCTCATTCATTTATTTCTGACTTCAGAAGAAACATACTTTAGAAAGATAGTAAGTGTGGAAATACTAGAAAGATAAGGACTATTTTCCCAATATTTCCATTTACCTGCATCTGTAGACAGTGTTTCTTCATTAACTAGGGGCAAACCAGAAGCAAAGAAATCCATTATTGTTGCATAAATATCTGGTTTCAGTAAGTTCCAATCTAAGTCTTCGCTTTCCTATAAATGTACAAAGAAAAATGTTAACCATATTTCTGCCCAATTAGATTCACATGTAATTGTTATTATTATTATTATTATTTTTTTTTGGTGAAGCAATCAGGGTTAAGTGACTTGCCCAGGATCACACGGACTAGTAAGCATCAAGTGTCTGAGACCGGATTATAAACTCAGGTTCTCCTGACTCAAGGTCAGAACTCTATCCACTGCGTCATGTAGCTGCTTCCCACGTTAACCATTTTTAAAAAACCTTTACAACAACATCATTTTAAAAGATTTTAATCAGATTTCATTTGACAGCATTCATTCCTGCAGGCTGATTTTTGGTTCTGGGCTCAGTTCTGTAGAGTTCTCTTCTGGTCTGTAGTACAGCCTCAAGCCAACACCATCCAGTTCAAAATAGTATGAAGTTGACTGGAAAGGTAAAACTGAGGAAGACTGGAAACTGCCTCAGTTGCCCGAGTCCTCCAGATTAGTAATGATTGAGTCTTTAAATACTCCAGAGTGGTGAAAGATTGTAGAGGTGGCTGCTGAGTTGTTTTTTGTTTTAAGAAGGAGAGTGGTACACTGAGAAATGACTATGATGGAGAAACAAAAGGCGTCCATAACTCCTGTCATCCCAAAGCACAAGTCCTTCAGTTTGGAGCCAAAGCACTTCTATTCCCATAGAGTTAGAGTGGGGACCCAACTCTAGGGAAGGTGCCCCAGTTCAGTAGATTTAGGGGATTCTCCTGATAAGTCCCATGATAATACAAGATAATATCCCTGAGAGAGCCCATGCTCACTCCCTTTTTCCAAATACTTGATGAGTGCCTATTGTAAGCAGTGAGATGCTATGGGGGAATACAGAATAATATTCCTAAAGCATAGGACTGACTACATCATTTCCTTCCTCAAAAAGTTTCAGTGGTTCCCAAGGAAAAAAATATAAACTCTGTTTGGCATTTAAATCCTTTCACATGTTATTTCCCTTCACAAAATCTACTTTCCAGCCAAAATGATCTACTTGTTCTTCTCTTTATACATCATTCCACTTTCTACTCCTTTCTATCCCTTACCTTATAGAATCCCCAGCTCCCTGAAAAGCTCAGTTCAAATGTCACTTCCTATATGAGACTCCTCCTGATCCCCCCAAATACTAATGTTGCCTACCAAATCACTTTGTACTTACCTTGCATGCATCTTGGTATTAACTTACTGTTGTATGTGTCATTTCCCCTGCGACACATAAGCTTCTTGACAGCAGAAACTATTTCATTTCTGCTTCTGTACCCCCATGGCCTGCCCTAGCATATTGACTGGCACATAATAAGGGGTTAATAAATGCTTTATGACTATCTGAAGACAAAGTCCTGCCTTCGGGGAGCTCACAATCTACACAGGTTCCTCATTACCCAAGTATTCATTATCTGAGTAATGATGTTTGTTTTGGTCCTGACATGTGATTCCACTAATATAGGAAAATACTATTATTGAAATCTCTCTCCCACTGCAGTTCGGCAACTGATCTGTAATATAATCTTAGAAAGTTGTCTGGGGCACCAAGAATGTAAGTCACTTACCAGTTTGTGTAAAAGGTAGGACTTGAACTCAGGCCTTTCTAATACAAAGGTTGGCTAGCACCCAAACTGACTCTTTTATCCTCTAAGCCCTTCGTGATCCCTTCACAACCGCCAGGGCCCTCCCTCCCTAATTACCTTATACTTATTTTGTATTTGTTGTGTTTATATTTATTCTGTATATACTTACAGAAGGAATGTACACTACTTGAGAGTAAGGATTGTTTAATTTTTCTGTCTTTGTTTCCCCAGCTCTTAGCATAGTGCCTAGCCCATAGTAGGCTCTTAATGCTTTCTGGTTGTTATTTGATTAATTATGCCACACTGCTTTCCTACAAGGTCGCAGGTTGGATAAGGAAGCAAGACCTCATAAGCTGACCCCTTTTAAAATTAATCTCTACTCGCACATTAGCATCTATCACCACCTATCCATCCAATCAACGAACATCTTGATTTTGTAAGTCAGTCTCTAGCTGTCTTTGTGGGTCAGCCTTCAGAGTGCTGGTAGGCGCTTCAAAAGTGAAGAATATCAAAGAATTATGAGAGGCCATTGAGAAAACTAGTGAAACCCCTGAACATTTTTGCAAATTGACCCTTTTTATGATCCTGCAATGAAAGAAATCATATTCATATAATTTTGTCATAAAAATTATGTCCACTCCAAGTCGTTTTATAAATTGATTGTTCTAAAAATTACTGCATAGTTAAAATTATTACCTAAGTTTTGTTAAAGATGTATTTTAATAATTTTTAGTTTCATTTTTCAAGATAAAGTCCCAATCAAGTCTTCTTCCCTCACTATTTACTAAGAAACACGGGTCCCCATTTTAAGTGAATTTTCTTTAAGCAGATTTTTCCTGTTTCAGTTATGGTTAGATAACAAAGATTTCTTGCAGGTATAGAGATAAGACATGTAATAAATAATAAAGATATTGAAGGTCTGATAAAAACTACTATACATATATTATTTAATCTCACAACAATCCTGTAAGGTAAATCCTACAGATATTATTATGATTCTCAGGTTGTACAGAGGAGAAAAATAAAGACTCAGGGAAGGGTGTGTGACTTGCCCATAGTCACTATGTCTATGTAAGTGTCGGAGTCAGAAGTAGAACCCAGATTCCAAATCAGTGCTCTTTTCCCTTTCCTACAGGAGTGTCAAAGATGATGGCTGCTATTGGACGTTAGAGAAGTGATTATATTCAACTGAAGTAACTAGGAAATAGCTTCAGGAAAAGAGGAAGGTTTGAGCTGCTAAGAGTCTGATAGGTAGAAATTTTCGAGGAAGGTATTCCAGGTCAGAAAGAACATAAATAAAAATATAGAAATTTAAAAATGTGGGAAGATGATGAATAGACTGGGTTGATGGGTTGATACAGGTGTGTGTGGTTAGAGGTAACTTTGGCAAGGTATGTAGGAGCTGAATTATTGAACCCCTCACATTCATTGTTTCTTGTAGTATAATAATATTCCACTATATTCATATGTAATAATTTTTCAGATTGCTCAACCAAAGAGAACCCATTTTGTTTCTATTTCTTTGCCTCCACCAAAAATGCTGCTATGAATATTTTGGTATCAATAAAAGCAATCCAGTAATTAATTTTTAGAAAAAAAAATGCTGGGGACATTACAGAGAAAAGCAGCAGTGGGGTGGAAGAAAGCACTAAAATTATTAGAACCCTTTAGTCTGAAAAGATGAAGGCTGAAAAGGATTGGTGACAGTGTTTACAATTATGGGGGCATGGAGTTTGCAAATACTAATTCTTTTGCCAAATATCAGAAACCAGAACTTGGGGATACTATTTGAAGTTTGAAAGAGGCAACTTTATAAAAAATAGAAAAATACTACTGAATAACACAAGTATTTTCAATTTTATAAATAGTTTATATAGGGGATATCCATAATTGGTCAGGTCAATGTTAAGAGTAGTTGTATTCTTCTAAATGTCCTTTTAAGTTCTACTATAATAAAATAATGGAGTAAATGAACCACAGATTTGGTAGTTCCCACAGTTGCTTGTGAAAATTAAAAATGGAGGTTCTTTTTTAAAAATTAAATTAAAATTTTTTTGATTACATTTTAAATTTCAAGTTGTCTCTCTCCCTTCCCACCCCGCACTAGAGAAAGCCACCACTTGACACAGATATATACACACACATATATGTATATACACATGTATATATGTGTGTATATGTAAATATATGTGTATATGTGCATGTAAAACTACACCATGCAATACTTCTATTTATCAGTTTTCTCTGGAGATAGATATCATCATCTTTCATAGGTCCTTTGTAGTTGACTTGAATATTTGTAATACTAAGACTGGTTTAGTCATTCATAGTTATTCTTCGAATAATATTGCTGTTACTGCATACAATGTTCTCTTGGTTCTGCTCATTTTACTCTTCATTGTTTCATGCAAGTCTTTCCATATTTTTCTAAAATCAACCTGCTCATCATTTCTTATAGCACAGTAATATTCCATCACTATCACATACCACAACTTATTTTGCCATTCCCCAACTGATGAGCATCTCTTTAATTTCCAGTTCTTTGACACCACAAAGAGAGCTGCTACAAATATTTTAGAATATATAGGTTCTTTTCCTTTTTCCCTGATCACCTTGGGAAACAGATCTAATAGTGGTATTGCTGGGTCAAAGGGTATACAGTTTTATAACTCTTTGGGCATAGCTCCAGATTGCTCTCCAAAATGGCTAGATTGTTCACATCAAGTGTATTAGTGTCCCAATTTTTCTACATCCCTTCCAACATTTGTCTTTCCCTTTCTTTCATTTTAGTCAATCTGATAGGTGTGAGATGATATCTCAAAGTTGTTTCAATTTGCATTTCTTTAATCAATAATGATTCAGAGCATTTTTTCACATGACTATATATAGCTTTGATTTCTTCATCCAACAGCTGCCTGCTCATATCCTTTGACCATTTATAAATTGGAGAATGACTCATATTCTTTTAAATTTGACAAAGTTCTTTATATATTTGAGTTGAGACCTTTATCAAAGAAACTATCCATAAAATTTTTTTCCCAATCTTCTGCTTTCCTTATAATCTTGGCTGCATTGTTTTTTTTTGTATAAAACCTTTTTAATTTAATGTAATCCAAAATTATCCATTTTATATCTCACAATGTTCTCTATCTCTTCTTTATTCATAAATTCTTTTCCTATCCATAAGTCTGATAGGTAATGGTTTCCATGTTGTTCTAATTTACTTATGATATCTCCCTTTACATACAGGTCATGTATCCATTTTGGCCTTACCTTGGTAAATGGTGTAAGATATTGGTCTATACCTAGGTTCTGCCAGACTACTGCCCAGTTTTCCCAACAATTTTTGCCAGAGAGTGAGTTCTTGTCCCAAAATCTTAGATCTTTATATTTGTCAAACACAAGTTACTGTGATCATATGTCTATATGTATTATCATATGTATTATATGTCCACTCCACTCTACTGATCTACCTTTCTCTTTCTTAGCCAGCACCAGATAGTTTTGATAATTGTCACCTTCTAATACAGTTTAAGATGTGGTACTACTAAATCTTTTTACCTTTACATCTTTTTCATTAATTGCTTTGATATTCTTGATCTTTTGTTCTTCCAAATGAGTTGTTATTATTGTGCTACCTCAATAAAATAATTTTTGATAATTTAATGGGATGGCATTGAATAAGTAGGTCAGTTTAGGTAAAACTGTTATTTTTATTATATTGGCTTGGCCTACCCATGAATAATTAATATTTCTTCAATTATTTAAATCTGACTTTATTTGCACAAAAAGTGTTATAATTATGTGCATGTAGTTCCCAGGTTTGTCTTGGCAGGTACACTCCCAGATATTTTATGTTGTCTATGATTATTTTAAATGAGGTATCTCTTACTACCTCTTCTTCCAGGATTTTGTGGATGACATATAGAAATGCTGATGATTTATGTAAGTTTATTTTATATCCTGCTACTTTGATAAAATTATTGTTTTAAATAGTGTTTTAGTTGAATCTCTAGGATTTTCCAAGTATATCATCATATGTCTACAAGAGACAGTTTTATTACCTCAGTGGCCATTCTGATTCCTTCAATTTCTTTTTCTTCTCTTATTGCTATTGCTAGCATTTCTAATAAAATATTAAACAATACTGGTGATAATGGGCTTCCTTGTTTCATTCTGAAGCTGACCAGCTTTTCCCCATTACAAATAATGCTTGCTGATAGTTTCAGGTAAACACTTTTTATCATCTTAAGGAAAAATCCATTTATACCTATGCTTTCAAGTGTCTTTAATAGGAATGTGTGTTGCATTTTATTTAGGACTGTGGCATCTACATTCATTAGTGAAATTGGTCTATAATTTTCTTTCTCTGTTTTTGCTCTTCTTGGTTTAGGTATTAGCACCATATTTGTTTCATAAGAGGAGTTTGGTGGAATTCCTTCTTTGCCTATTATTCTAATTAATTTATTTAATATTAGAATTGCTTGATCTTTAAAATATTTGGCAGAATTCACTTGTAAATCTATCTGGTCCTGAATACTTTTTTCTTAGGAAGTTCACTTATGACCTATTCAATTTCTTTTTCTAAAATATGTTTATTTAGTTATTCTATTTCCTCTTCTGTTAATCTAGACAGTTTACATCTTTGTAAGTATTCTTCTATTTCACTTGAATTGTTAAATTTATTGGCATATAAAAAGGAACATACTAATGAAAAAGTTTAAATCTCTTATTGAAGATGTTTAATTATAGACTAGGCAGCAATATTACTAGGACAGGGTGGAGAATTAGATGGGCAGATAATTGCACTTGGAAATGTCTGAAAACACTTCTAGGCCTATTTTCTGATTTTTACCCTTACCTTTGTGACTGTGATGAAATCTGGTCCAAAGAAGACACTTTTCACTCCTTCAATCCTGAATAACTGTCTAAAATTAAAGGGGGAAAAAAAGAATTTTTCTCATTAGTAAGACTCAAAAAGGCGCACTGGCTAGAGCTAGCTTGGGAGTTAGAAGGACTTGGGTCCAAGCCCCACCTCACACATGTCCTGGCTCTGTGATGTCTCTCAGGGCTCCCAGGCACCTGCAATTTGCAGAGCTGCTGTCTATCTGTAGTGATACGATAGAGCCCGTCACTGGATGCTCTCTACTGGATGAAATGTTAGATCCAGTCAAACAAAAATAAAGACTAAAGAATCTTGTGAATTATGAATTAAATTAGAAGTATGACTTCCAGGGCAGCTAGGTGGCAGTGAACAGAGCTCCAGCCTTGGAGTCAGGAGGACCTGAGTTCAAATCCAGCCTCAGACACTTGACATTTACTAGCTGTGTGACCCTGGGCAAGTAACTTAACCCTGATTGCTCACCAAAAAAGCCAAAAAAAAAAAAGTATGACTTCCCTTCCTCGCATCAAAAGACAAGATGGGGGCAGCTAGGTGGTGCAGCAGATAGAGCACTGTCCCTGAAGTTCAGAGAACCTAAATTCAAATCCAGCCTCAGACACTTACTGGGTGACCCTGGGCAAGTCACTTAACCCCATTGCTTCTCCCTCCCCTCCCCTGTAAAAACAAACAAACAAACAAACAAAAAAGATAAGATGATAGCTGATAGTTTTAAAGTGCTTTCATTTGTCTAAAGTCATATCATTTGAAAGCAACAGTCAGAACTAAAATTCCAACCCCTCCCTACAGTGTACACCTACTCAAAATTTTCCTATTTGGGTGAAGACATCACCATTCTTCCACTCTTTCAAGTCTGTAACCTTGGAATCATCTCTGATTCTTCCCTTACTCTCATTTCATTTCAGATCTTATCAATTATTCTGTCTTCACAACATCTCTCACATCTATCTCCACCTCAGCACTCAGAGGCCACCACTTTAGCTCACACCATCATCATCTTTTGTTTTTTCTTTTTGAATTTAGCTAACACCAAATAAAAGGAACATTTCTATATACAAAGCAGAACAAAAAAAGACTATATATGAAGCCACAAATCTGTATTATGAACAGCTTACTTTTCTCTTTAGACATATAAATTCAACACGTTATCTTTATAACTGTCTAACTTGTCTGTGTTTACTGACTTTTGTTCTATTCTCTTTCGTGCATTTTAAGTGCTTTAATTACCCTCTTTTGTTACCCTCCCATTTTAGACCCCCTCTGATCTGTCAACTCTTCTTTCTAATGTTGGAAGAAAAATAAAACCCTTGTATCAGATATGCATAGTCCAGCAAAACATATTCCTATATTGTACATGCTCAAAAATGTACATCTCAATCAGTACCTTGAAATCATTATGTTTCTATCAGGAGGTAGGTAGTGGGTTTTGTTATCCAGTCCTTGGGAATCACTGTTGCTCACAGCATTAATCAGTGTTCTGAAGTCTTTTAAAATTATTTTTATTTACACCACTGTTGTTAATGTATAAACTGTTCTCCAGGTTCTGCTCACTATACTCTGAATCACTTCATACAAGTTTTTCCAGCTTTGTCTGACATTGTCCCTTTCATAATTTCTTATGATACAATAATATATTTAATTTGTATACCACAATTTGTCCAGAAATAGCCTAATTGATATGTACTCCTTAGTTTCCAGTTATTTGCACTACAAAAAAAGCTATTATAAATATTTTTGTATATATGGGTCCTTTTCTTCTTTATTTTTGCTCTTTGGGTGTACAGGCCTAGTGTTGGTATCACTGACTCAAGGAACATGGAATGGTGAAGAACGTGGAAAGATTTTCCTTTAAAGAATAGCTGAAACAATTAGATATTTATTCCAGAGAAGTTAGAAGTTAAAAAGTTAGGAGAGATATGATTTCTATCTTCAAATATTTGAAGGACTATTACACAAAAAAGGGATTAGGTTTATTCTGAGTAATTCCACAAGGCAGAACTATGATGAATAAGTAAAACTTACAGGGATGAAATACAGGGAAAACCTTTCTAAAATTTAGAGTTAACTAAAAAAAAAAAAAAAAAAAAAAAAAGAGGTGCTTTGTGAGGCAGTGAATTTCCCACCACAGAAGTGCTGAAGCAAAGACAACCTGTCAGGGGTGCTTCTGAGGAGCTTCTTACGTGGGGTAGGAGGTTGTGTATGTGATTTCTGAGTTTCCTTAAAAATCTAAAGGGAAGATTTTCTATGACTCATGCCCACTTAAAATAGAGAGCTGTATGATTAACTGCATGACTGTCGCTGGGAAGAGAGTTAAAATAATTAAAACAAATCAGCCCCAGAAGGTTTATACTCAAAGAATCTCAGAATCTTAGAAAAGGAAGGAGTCTTACAGGCCCCAGAGTTACTTTGTACATGCTTTGTACTTACTTATATTCCTGTACGCTGTTTTTCCCCAGAAAAATGAAAACTCTTGAAGGGTAAGGACTATTTGTTTATCTTTGTGATCCTAGTAGATAGTACAATATTTGACACATAGTACCCTGCCTAATAAATTCTTGGTTTTTTTTTTTTTTTGGCTAGGCAATGAGGTTAAGTGACTTGCCCAGCATCACACAGCTAGTAAGTGTCAAGTGTCTGAGGCCACATTTGAACTCAGGTCCTCCTGACTCCACGGCCAGTGCTCTATCCACTGTGCCACCTAGCTGCCCCCTAATAAATTCTTCAATGAAGCTGAATGGCTTTAAGGAATCACTGATTTTTTTTTTTTTTAGTTAGGCAATGGGGTTAAGTGACTTGCCCAGGGTCAAGGAATCACTGATTGAGACACGGCTAGTGGACTGTACATCTGCGTCACGTCTTAGACTTAGTCTTTAAAAGAGAGCAAGCAGAAATTTGAGAATGAAAAAGGTGAGAGCTGAGAGACACAAAGAAGAGACAGAGATGCACACTCTAGTATGCTGGAGAAAAGGCTCTCACAAAAGACAAAAAATGATGCTTATGGTTCCTGTGATAGTGCCCTATTATGTAAACTTAAGGACAGAGACTACTAAGAAAGTGCTAACGGTAAAGTGCTATTTTCTTTCTGCGACCAGAGGTCATCTCCCCTAATCGCTAGCCCTTGATTCCACCCTGGCGCATCATTCACTCCTCTTTATCCTCCTGCTCCCCTCCCCCTTTCACGTACACTCCCACAGTATAGTACAGTCCCACCAAAAACAAGAAAACAAAAAAACCCATTGTTTCACCTGTAGATGGGATGTCGCCAAGCTCTGTCCATGATACCCTGGACTGCCTCTTTTCCGTTACCTGTACCAGATGAACACCTTCGCTGCTGTGTCCTTGTGTACATTTATAAAGAAGTCTCTTACTGCATTTATGTTGTGTGAGGTACTGGAGAAGTAAGTAACTTCAATTCTGGGGTTTTTTTTCCCTAAAAAACGTTTCAAACTCTTCTTTATTATTGAACAATTATCTTTTGAACTGTATGGTTAAGCTCATATTTCTAGGACAGTTCACCCTGGGCTGCATATTGAGCTCCAATGCTCTTTGGAACACATTATTACATTCCCTCCTCTTTTTTCTAGTGGATGTGGAATATCCTTGCGTTATTCAAAAGTCCTTTCTTCTGTCTTTAATGGTTTTTCTTTTGGTGGCTTGTAGAACTTGTTTCTGAATTGAAATGTTAAATTTACCAATATGTGTCTTGAAATGTGCTCCCTTGGTTTTTTTCTGGATGTAATCTGTGAATTCTTTCAACTGAAATTTCATTTCCTATGTTCAGAAGTTTTGGGCTCTTCTATTATTTCCTTCATTAAGGTGTTAAGATTTTTTTTTTGTCCTGTCCTCTTATTTAAGAGATCTGTGATCCTTAGGTTATCTATACATCCTGTCTTTGATATCCATGTTTTGCTTGCATAGCAGGCATATTTTTTTTAACTTTTTTTTTTTTGGCTTCTCTTCTTCTAGGTTGACCTTCACTTCTGTGCATTTGCATTCCCTATCTATTGTTCTCTTTTGTTTCTTTAGTGAGGCTTGTCATTGCAGATTCAAGTTTTTTTATTCTGCTCATTCATTTTGCTGTGCAAGACAAAAATTCTGCTTTCATAATACTTATTCTTCTTTGAAACCACTCAAGAACAGCATGATGTTGTTCCATGTTCTTCTCAATTCTCGGTCCTCTTTCTCAGCAAGTGTTAGAACATGTTCTGTCATTGTATTTATTCATAGATGCCTGAACCCATTTGCTAGATCTAAAGGCCATTATTTCTTTCTGTGATTATTGTTTTTCCTGTTATCTGTTTATATTCAAGATCTTTGAGATTTCCTCCTCCTAAAATCTTTTTGGTACCCTCAGTCTCTCCTCTCCTACCCCATTCCCCTCATTTTCCTTTCCTTTCCTCACTTCCTAATGCCCTCCCCTCTGATTGTGGTTTCCTTGGGGGCTGGATCTCAAAGTGTCTCAGCCTCCTCCCACACTGGGCAATTCATGGTTCACCAGCCTAGGTCTCTGCCCCAGCTGTCTTTTAGGTGATCAGAACTGGCCCCACTTGGTTACTATGCTGTTTCGCTCAGGCTTGGTGGAGTGCTATACAGCTCCCTACCTGCACAGTGTCCTGTGCTGGTGACTTGTCCCACTCTCTCAATTCCTTAGTTCTCTGGCATGGCACCAGAACTTCAAAGCCCACTTTCCCTGGCACCAGCAAATTCTGCTTTCCCAATCATCGGCAGTTCAGAGCTTACTTTCTATGGTACTAGCAGTTCAGAGCTTTGCTGCCCTGGTGCTTCTGGATTACAGGTCCTGGCAGGCTTTTGATCCTAAAGGGACATAACCAAACTGGCTACTGAGGCCCAAGGAAACTTCCACAGCCTAGAGCCCTGGTCTCTATGGTACTGAAAAGAGAGAGGCAGGAACAGGACACAGGCTTGGGTTTTGATATAAGCCTGTGTCACAGCCTTGGGTCTTTCAGTGAAGTCTTGCTGCCAGAAGCATGGGATATGGAGATGGTCAGTAAGTGTCTTGGGTTTTAT